GCCAGCGCCACCAGGCCCGCTTTGCCCGGCCTCGCCTTGCCCAGCCCGCGGCGGGGACGATGGAGCTGGGCTGGCCGCCCCTCGTCCTCCTCGAAACTCCAGCTCCGCGGGCCGCGGAGTCGGATGGAGCGTGCACGCATCCATTCGCCCGTTCGTTGGTTCAGGCTAGGTCACTGACGTGCCCGGAGTGCCGGACACTGAGCCGGGCGCCGAGGATGCCGAGCAAAACCAGACGCGCCCGCCTTCGCGCCCCTCTCAGGCCGGCGCGCCACGCAGTGACAAGTACACTGGAGTCGCACGCTGGCTCATTTAGCAGAGACCGTTTTTCTTTTTTGCACTAAAAATTCATACTTTGCATCTTTATTTTTTATTTATGGAGCACCTTATAGCATGTACCTGCACATCCTTGCCTTGAGTGTAGACACCAAATCTTGTGATTTAGGGGCGATTTTTCAAGGGTAAATTTGACCCTAAATGAAATTTTCTCTTCAGGCATTGACTTAGCACTTTACACACACACACACACACACACACACACACACACGTAGTCAGAAACGTGAAAGTAAAAACACAGCTTGCTAAGTGGCAGGAGAGAGTTGCTGTGGAGATGGGGAGGGGAAGGCGGGGACCTCAAAGTTTGAACGCAGGCGGTTAACCAGGTGCAGGCAGAAGTGTGAGTGGACCTCATGGTCAAGTCCAAAGCAAAAGCGCCGGCTCCGGACCCCAAGCAGAGGCGCGTCGGGCTGCTGCCCGCGGCCCGGCACCTGGCGCTCTGGTCACAGCCGAGCGACCTTGAACCTGCGTGCTCAGCCAGAGCGGAGGTGCGGCGGGCGGCGGCCAGGCGCGAGCCCGGGGATCTGGAGAGGTGTTGGGGCGCAGAATGGCTGCTCCTCCTTCCTGCCTCCGGGCGCGCCTGGAGCGGGTTGCGTCGCCCCCTAGAGTACGCTCTCCTCGCCGGAAAACCGGCCTCGTCGCCAACAGCCACGCCTTTCCGCTCCTCTACTCCCTTTGTTTCTTTGAGACTTTATAGCCCTTTAATGAATGACCTGGCGGGAGGGTCCCCATCTCCGACCCCGCCTCCCTTCGGAGGCCTGCTTAGGTCTCTGGGTTGGGCCAAGAGGAAGTGAAGGGGCGAGGGAACAGGCAGGACTTTTACTTTACAAAAATGACATAAAAATAATGTTTTAACTCATCTTTATGAGACATCCTCAGAAAGCATTGCCCGCTGTGATTACACCTAATGTGAGAGCCTGAACTAATTTAAGAGGTGACAGCTGGGTAATGACACCGCACCCAGTGCACAGTCCAAGACTGGCAGTTGTAACGGTGGAGGGGACCTGGAGAAACGGCTGTGTAGGTCCGAGGACATACTCAGTGCCCTGGCTCTGCACAGTCCGTCCTTCACAAATATTCACTGAGTTCCAGCCCTGCCTGGGGGGAAGCCCGTTTTCATGCAGGGCACCAGCAGGCCCCAGATGACCTGGAAGAACATGGTAGCCAGCCCTTTCCTCTTCTGCTCATGCTGAGTGAAGCCCTGGAGGCCAGTGCCCAAGCTTGACCTGCCGTCTGTATGCCAGTGATTCTTCATCCTATATTTCCAGCCTCAGTGTCTCTGCAGCCCCAGATGTGTTATTCCAAGGGCCTCCTGGACATCCGTCCTCGTATGTCCATCCTGCAAGCCTGTGTAACTGGCCTGTTCTTTGTCTCCTGCCCTGCCTCCCACACTTTGCACCCTCCTTCTTTCCCCTTCTCAGTGGCAACAGCTGCACCTACCCAGGGACCCGCGCATCTAACTTGACTCGAATCTCTATGTCCTCTTGTTTGAGCCATTCTTATAGCGCTGCCTGTTTGAGGTTTAGCATCTCTGACCTGGGCTCTTTCTAGAGCCTCCTCATTTATCATCCAGGGCTCATTGCAAGGCCCACCTCCTGGCCTTGCGCCCCATATATTTCACTTGGTGGATGTCTATCTAGTGAGTGCCCTGAGATATGTGACTTCCATGCTGCTCCTGCGTAAGCGAGACTTCCCTGGCCACCATATTTCAGATCGATCTGAATTCTTCGTCCCTCTTCCACATAGTGTGTGTTCAGAAGATAATAAGTGCTAATTTAGTGTTGATAGATGTGTGCTTTCCTGAAGTGCGGGACTAAATGAGATAATGTGTGTGAGGAGGAAAATCCACTGAAACCTTACAGTCCTGTCTATATTTAGTGTCACATATTTAGACTCAGGGTTCTTTTAGCTGCAAGTGACAAACCAAATTGGCTTATTAAAGACTTTATTTGGTTGATGCAAAACGCCTACCAGTAGGTCCTGCCGGTTAATTATGATCACTCAAGGTTATCAGGATCCGTTTTCTGGTTTCAGGATCTGTTTTCTGGTTTCGGCATCATTTTCAAACAGGTTTTTCCATATGCTAGCCCCTTAGAAGCGACTACCATCTTACTCCGAGCCAGAAAATGGGCACGTTTTCTTCAGTATTTGCAGCAAAAACCTCAGGGTGGTTCTTACCGGGCGGTCTGAGGCACTTGGCCTCTCTGAGCATGGAGAATGGACTGTTCTGCTGGGTAAACTCGGATGCCGGGGTCTCCTCTGGAAGGGGGTCTGGCATTAGCTCCACATTGTCTGAACCAGGGTGTTCTCCAAAGAGGAGCTAGGGGAGGGACGCCGGGCAGACACGAGCAACACATGTCTACTTCATCCCACTCGAAGGGTCAGTTGCAATGTCACCCAACAAGAATGGTGAGGAAGTCTGATGCAGTAGCCACAACGACAGCTTTGTGTTTGTCCTGGTCCTTGTGGATCTCCAAACCTCAGCCAAACATGAAGTCAGGTACTGTCAACATCGAGATCGCTCAAGGTATAGCTTCGAAGTCTGGATGCACTTCAAATGGTAGAGCCAGATAAGTGTAAATAATAGAGTGATTGTGACACTATATTCTAAAGGATTTCTTTATTTTGTAAAAAAAGAAAGAAAGAAAGAAAAAGAAAAGAAATTGACAACATTTTGTCAGAATCGACTATTTTCCTTTTCATTTTTTCAGTATCTAGAAAGGTGGAAGTTTTATTTCTTTATGGATAGGTACCTAAAATTCCTCATTGTCCATCGATTAAGGAAGACAAATGAAAATTTGAGAAAGTCTGGAAAATAAAAGGATTGGATTGGGACATTTCTGAAATTTAAGACTATAGGGTTTGCCTTGCTAGGGCTTCGCAGGTGTTGAAATATTGGTAAAGTATTATAAAACCATCTGTCTGAAGCTTTTAAAGTAATGTGTTATAGAGATTTAGGGAACTGTGAGATTACAAATAATGAATTTATATTGTTGCTATTATATTCTTTACCTGCTGTTTCAAATGCAGCCTTATGTTTTAATGAAGTCTAAGGGGTTTTTTTTGTTTTTTTGTTTTTTACCTCCTCACTGCATTCTGAATTTCCCACCACAGTGCATTTTGAGAAGTGAAGATAAATATACCTTCACTTATATAGTTATGTTCATGGCTACCCTAACCATCCCACACCCCATACCTGGAAAAAACAACCACCTCTGTTGTTGGAATGAGAGAACATTTTCAGGGAAAGGGCATATTTTGTCACAGGATATGAAACAAGCTCATCCTTTTATTAAATCAAAATGGATTCCCTAATGTTCGTACACATCAAACAGTATTTCATCTCATTTAGTCTTGGTTCAAAGTCCCAGGCAGTGCGATTCCCTAGCGTTTAGTTCATTTGCCCACAAAGCAGAAGAGAAAGGCTATTTTGTTCTGAAGAGGGTGTTAAATTTGGGATTTCAGGGGTCAAGTCATTTCAAGTCAATGTTTGGATCTACACTATAACATGGGAATGATTCTAAGTTGTGCAAATATTGAAATAATATTTTAACTTTCACCAAAACCTCGGTCTTCTTGGGTATCGGGGTTTTTTTTCTTGCTCAGATTCATTTAAATGCAACATTTTTGCTGT